GAATAGGATGATTACTGTAGTATTTTCTTGGTCTAAGCTTTTTTGAAATCCTTAAGATTGAAATGTTTGAAAAAGATAGACACAGAGTCAAGGTAAATTTTTTACCTAAAAGCAGAATTGGAAAAAATAGATGTGTTGTCCAGTCTCCATGTAGGATTTAAGCTATTCACAGTGCTTCATAACTGTTTTGAGTTTAAAAATGTACAGAGTTGCTGCTATAGCTTATTTTAAATCTAAATTAATTAAAATTTATAAAAGAGTTCTTTCACTTGAAAACTCAAAATAAATAATGTGCTACATGTTGAAAAATTTCATTTACCTATTTTCTGTCTGTCCAGTTCCCACAGCCATCCTTCTTCCCTCGTTTCTGTCTATATATGGAAGCAAATTCACATACATGTTCTTATTTGCCCATTTTCTATATGAGTGGTGACTTATTTTAACTGCTGTTCTATAACTTGCTTTCTGCTCTAAGATATTTTTAAAATCTTTAAAATCTGTACATAGACAACGTTGACATTCTTTTAATGCAATGAATAGTATACCACTGTTTAGATGCAGCATAACTTAGTCTCCTATCTATGAACATTTAGATTGTTTTTCTTATTTTTGCTGTAAGAATTATGTGGTAAGTAGCCTCATACACATGTCATTCTGCACATGTGCAGGTATATCTGTAGTATTCATCCAATCCCAAAGTGGACTTGCTGATTCCAAGAATATCTACATTTAAAATGGTTTCTTATACAGTTCTCATATATTTTTAAAATGACCTGGAGGAAGACTATGGATACTACCTTATTATGTTATCTTTACTGCCCAAAACATATCAGTTTTGTCCATTTTTCTGTTGGTTTATTGGTGATGTTCTTATCAATTTCTAGAAACTGTATGCTTAGAAATGGACTCTTTGGGTAATGGGTTGCAAGTATTTTCTAGTTAATCTTTTCCTATTTTGCTTATGGTGTTTTTTGCCACGTACAATTTATTTTTTATGCAATTAAATTTATGACATTTAAATATTTTTAATAGAGGTTTTTAAAAAAAGTTTTAGTTTCACAGCAAAATTGAGCTTGAGTGGATGTTAAAGAAATTTCCCATCTATATCCTTCCCTCACACATGCATAACCTACACTGTTATCAACAGCTGATCCTTTTACTGTCTCCATAGTTTTGCCTTGTCCAGAACGTCACATAGTTGGAGTCATACAGTATGTAGCCTTTTTACATTGGCTGCTTTTGCATAGTAATATGCATTTAATGTTCCTCCATGTCTTTCCATGGCTTGATAGCTTATTTCATTACTTGCTAAATAATATTCCATTGTTTGGATGTATCTGAGTTTATTCAGTCATCTACTGAAATTTTGGCAATTATGAAAAAAGCTACTCTAAACATTTGTGTCCAGGTATTTGTGTGGACATAAATTTCCAACTCCTTTGGGTAAGTACCAAGGAGTGTGATTACTGGATCATATGATAGAAGTGTATTAGTTTGTAAGAAACCATCAACCTGTTTTGCAAAGTACCTATACCATTTTGCTTTCCCACTAGCAAAGAATGAGAATTCCTGTGATCTACATCCATGCCAGCATCACGTGTTTTCTGTGTTCTGGATTCTGTCCATTCTCATGAGTTTGTAGTAAATCTCATTATTTTAATTTACATTTCTCTGATGACATGATGTTAAACATATTTTATATTATTTTAACACCATTCATTGAATATACCATCATTTACTACTGATTTGAGTTGCTATATAGGTGTTTTATAGTACATTTCTGATTGTATTTCGGTCTATTTCTTGGATCTGTTCCACTGGTCTCTCTGTCTCTTGTTATACAGTATGGTTTATCTTGATAATGCAAGTAGCTTTTAGGAAACACTGCTTTCTGACAGCTACCCCCAGTGCTAGATTTTAAATTGAGTTTTCTTTTCCTACCCCTGTCTTGCCTATGTCAAAATTTAGACTCCTTCTTTATGTTAATAAAGTATCAATTTATTTGCTTTTTGTATGTAATAGTAATATTTGATCCATTTTATGTCTTAAATGTAACTATAGTATCTTCTATTCATAAAAATGTTGAAGCCTGATACTTGTCCAGGTGTCTCCGGCATATTTTGTGAACTATACCAACTTTGTCGGAGCTTCCAAGAAGATTATTTGCGCAAATCTCCTTTCCTTGATTCATATCCATGAATTTCTACACTGTGATTACCAAAAAGTAACTCATTGTTTTAATAGCTGAACTTAAATACTAATCATCTAGAAATTTCAAATAGGGTAGTTTAGAAGAGTTTTTAAAGAAGCAAAAGAATGCCTTTGATAAAATAAAATTGAATGAAAAAATACACAGGTTCTAGCTTTTGAACAGTATGTACTTTGTTTATCAAGCAAAGGAGCTGGCACAAGTGAGCAGTAAAGTCCCCTTCAGTTCATTGTGATTCTTGCATACATTTCCATTGCCATCATTTCACTTGGTTTGCAAGGTGAAGCTCTTCTTGGCAATTTCCAGAGCTTAGTAAACTTGGTGCTTTCTGCTGCTTCATTCTTAGCAACTGCTGTTCCATTTCCATTTGGTCCCTTTTGTGAATCATGCTTAGACAGCTAAAGTCATGAACTTAATTTGCTTTGTTAGTATATACATGTACAAAAGGTCCCTGCTTCCATTTTCTTCATATTATAAAAACGGAGACTGTAATATATTGTCGATGTTCCTGTACCTCAGCTTGGTTTTAGCTTTCTCTAAAATGAAGGAGATTAACTTTAGTAAAGAAATGGAATGGTCTTCTTTCTTCACTGCCCAGGGCAAAATGATCCCCCCCCACCCTGGGTACAATAGGACACTTTTTTATTTTTAAAATCAGTCTGTTACTCCCAGCAACAGTTTCTTTACAAACTGTCTTATTTGTTAGAGTCCTAAATAGAACCCAGTTTTTGAAAGAGCCTGCCTTCCTTATATTTGAATGGCATTTTAATAAGCCTTTTGAACAGATTTATACTTACTTTACGTCAGTCTTCTTTTCAAAGCCAAGTCATACCAGTTTGTTTAGTCTTTCTAATCCTTTAATCATTTTATTCTCAGCATATTTCCAGATGCTTCACATCCCTCTGTAGATTCCAGAACTGGAATGAGTTTGTTAATAAAGTCTGATCAGGATTGAATGAAATGGAGGATAATTCCTTTGCTGTTTCTTAAGTATTATATTGTTTTTTATTGTTGTTTACAATTTTTGTTTTTTTCATTATTAATTTTTTTTTTTTTTTTTTTGAGACGGAGTTTCGCTCTTGTTACCCAGGCTGGAGTGCAATGGCGCGATCTCGGCTCACCGCAACCTCCGCCTCCTGGGTTCAGGCAATTCTCCTGCCTCAGCCTCCTGAGTCACTGGGATTACAGGCACGCGCCACCATGCCCAGCTAATTTTTTGTATTTTTAGTAGAGACGGGGTTTCACCATGTTGACCAGGATGGTCTCGATCTCTTGACCTCGTGATCCACCCATATTAATTTTTTTAAAAATTATACTTTAAATTCTGGGATACATGTGCAGAACGTGCAGGTTTGTTACATAGGTATACACGTGCCATGGTGGTTTGCTGCACCCATCAACCTGTCATCTACACTAGGTATTTCTCCTAATGCTATCCCTTCCCTAGAGCTCCACCCTTCAACTTATGTATTTTGGAATTTGTTGTTTTATCCCCCAAGACTATGGTGTTTTCTCTCCAGTTAAGCATCAAAGAAAAGAAAAGGAAACTTCTGCATTACCTAAGATGGCTTGCTTCTAGTGAAGTGCATGCCCCTGTGTGTGTAGCTGTGCAGGGCTTAGTGCATACAAGGGCTCTGTACTTGGCTTAATGCTCTCTGTTCCTGCTGTCTTGAAATTCTTAATAATTTTTTTACTAAGAAGCTCCTCATTTTTGTTTTGCACTGGGCCCTACAAATTAAATAGCTCACCCTGCTTGTAGTTGATGACTAGAGGATATGATTGGTAAGTCACATTTCATGTCTAATTCACCCTCCATAATAATTACGGAAGTTAGACCCAGGGTAAGGACCGCTGGTTGTAAACTTCCCCAATTCTCAGCTTTTCCTCCTTTGTGCTCAAAGACCCATTCACTGCCTACCTTCCGCCTCTCTGTTCTCTTTTGGATTTGTCTTCTTTGTCTTCTCCTTATTATTCCTTCATTTATCTGACCTCGGGTGTTGACGTATGTTTGTTCATGGAATCCAAATTTTGTCATGCAGTAGTTGTTCTTTCCAGAGCAATCTTTCTTAGGGTCCATTCTGTCTTTTCAGTCTTTCCTCCTTTACCTCTTGTCCAAGTCATCCCTCCCTCACCTCTAAGCTCTTATCTTCTCTGCTTTCTCTGTTTAGAACAGCTGGCAATTTTGTGTAATATTAATAGTTAATTTCTTATCCAAATTTCAGATTTGCTCTGTCTCTATAAAGAAGCTGGGGTGACAATCACAAGAATTCTGTATGGGGTAGAAATTTCTGTATCAGGATTATGAAGTACATGAAATTACAGAAATGTTTTAAAGTCTAACCATTAATGGCTGGGAGCAGTGGCTCATGCCTGTAATCCCAGCACTTTGGGAGACCAAGGCTGACAGATCATTTGAGGTTAGGGGTTTGAGACCAGTCTGGCCAACATGGTGAAACTCCATCTGTACTAAAAATACAAAAATTAGCCAGGTGTGGTGGCAGGCGTCATAATCCCAGCTACTCAGGAGGCGGAGGCAGGAGAATCCGGGAGGTGAAGGTTGCAGTGTGCGGTGATTGTACCGCTGCACTCCAGCCTGGATGACAGAGCTTGACTCCATCTCAAAGTCTAACCATTTGTACAGGTAGTAGGATATTTTAGCTTTTATTTTTCTTTACCGTAAAGTTAACTCTAGGTGTGAAATCTAATATATATGCAGCAGATATGACTTTTAGTCGTCATCATTTTTCATATCCTGGCCAGTTGATCACCTTATTTTCTCTTTTTCCTGTAGCTTAACAAGCAACAGTTGCAGTTACTGAAAGAACGGTTCCAGGCCTTCCTCAATGGGGAAACCCAAATTGTAGCTGATGAAGCATTTTGCAACGCAGTTCGGAGTTATTATGAGGTAAGTTTGAAGAGTGTTGTTTTTGGCTTTCTGATGCATTTTAAAAGGTTTTTTTATTATTTTTATGAGTTTCCCAATTTAAAGAAGCTCACTGGTCTGACAGGAAGGCTGTGAGTTTGCAACCTTTTTGAAAGCATTGTCAGTTCTATTTTGCAATTTAAAAGCTCTAATTCCACAGCCTGGTTTTGAGAGATAAATAAAATTGGAAATTAGTCACATCTTTTGAGGAGAAGTAAACTGTTTAGAAAAATCTCCTGGCAGTGATTGATACAGCTGAGCATAGCTATCTTTAGGTACACATGTCTAAATTATCATTTTAAATCTGGATTTCAATAGTAAATGGCTATCTTATGCAATTTTGTTCACTAAGCTTTATAATAATTAAAGCTGGTAACTAATTTCAAGAGGATAAATTGAATTCTCTTTTCTTCCTAGAGATAATACTACCAATACCATCCTGCTATTTCTTCTGATTTTAGCTTGTGACTCATAGAAATTCTCTATGGATTTCCTGTGAGCACCAGTTTTCACACATGGTCATTAACTGCTTTAGTGAGTTGCCCTAGCTGTTAGTTTAGAGAGTTCCTGTTTTGACTAAGCGTTTCAGAGTCATTTGAGGGAATGAATTCCTTTCATTGTGCAGGTACTCAACACGTTTCAGCCGAAGAAGCATAATATACAAATATGTATTAGACTAATAAGCAAGGGAAAATGTGAAGATACTATGGGTCTGAACTTACCTCAGGCAAGAATATTTTTGTATAAAAATATTAAGTAATTGTATGTACAGTTAACTGATTGGATTTGTAATAGTGATGGTATGCATTAGAAGTTAATTATTGCAACTCTAGAGAAGTTTACCTTACCCCAAGCCTCATCCTATTGAATTAAATGAAAGAATGGAAGTTTCACTGACTAAATATGTTTATGACATAAATCTAAAAAAGAGAATGGGTATATCCAACTGGACATTAACTTAGAATATCTTAACAAGTATAGGAGCCCAGAATTTTAACACATATAGGACCTTACATTTCACCTTGTAAGAGTCAGAGGAAGATTTCATCATGTAAAATTCAGGATTTGAATCTTACAGTATTAACTGTAAATTTCTACATTTGCCTCATGTACTTAAACTAAAGAAAAACCAAAAGTCTCTATTTGGGATTAAGGAAAAGTAGCTCAGGGAAGTAATTTGTATAAAAAGATATAAGGTTTTCTTGTGAAACAGCAGGCTCATATTTGGTTTTGATAAATGCACTGCTGCAATCAAAGATAATGTTAGGGAAACTGAAATTGGGTGAGCAGGAGGGGTGCGGGAATTTTTTGTACTATCATTGTAACTTTTGTGTAAACCTAAAAGTATTTCAAAATAAGTGAGTTTTTAAAAGTAAGCATAATATGATGTGGCCACAGGTTAGAAAAACGCACACATTTAAACAGAATACAGATTGAAAAAAAAAAAGACACACAAGCTGTGCTAATAAAATTATTGTATTTCCAGTGAAGGAGAGAGTATCCCCATTGTGTTCTACGTGAGGATTATGTTTTCTTCTGGGTATGTTATGTAAATTAAACTGTAGACAAATTTAGGGTGACCAGGCTTGAAACATACCATGTGTAAGCTGAAGGAGCTGGGGGTGTTTGGCCTGTAGGCAGATTGGGTTTGTGGTGTTGTATGCAATCCCAAGAGTAAAACTAGGACTTAATTGGAACTGAAGTTGGGAAGAGTTCAACCTAATATGTCTAGAGTTTGGTTGCACTGCTCCAAAATAGAATGGACTGGTGAGTATTTCGTCACAGCTTGATTCTGATGGTCCTTCACAGTCACTTGGGAAACGTACTGCAGTATGTTTTCAGTTCTCTGAAAAGAAATTTTATTTATTTTATTTTAATTTTTGATATAATTTATTTTTGAGACAAGGTCTTATTCTGTCACCCTGACTAGAGTGCAGTGATGTGATTATAACTTACTGTAGCCCTTGACTCAAGTCACGGGCTCTGATTTTATAGTGAAAAATTTTGCACTAGGTTTCCAGTCAGGTCCATCTATGCAAATAAAGGATTCAAACTTGCTTAGTTCCGATTGGTCAACACAACCAATTTCTGATTGGTTGGATACAACTGGGCCCTGATTGGACAGGGTAGGTGAGCTCAGATTAGTGGGTTCAGGTGAGTTCTTCTTAAAGTCCTAAGTTAAACAGAGGTGTGAATTTTCAGGGAACTCAGAAGAACATGAATGACTTCTAGTCAGCAGATGGCCACTTGACTCAATTTGAGTGTAAACTGAGTCAGCCACGGGATCCATCTTGAAGAACTGGCTCTTTTGGGATCACATCCATTCACAGCTTTGATAATTTTGATTCACACTGTCATTTGAGAACCGTATTGATCTAGATCTTATGACTTCTAGAATATATGTTCCATGAAAGAGCCATTTCTGTTTACCGTTGCATCCGCAGTTTATCACACAAATATATTCAATGAATACTTGTTGAGTGAGTGAATGGGTATTGCAGCAGTTGTTGCTCTATCTAGAAACTGTATATTTTGTCTTGTTTTATTCTTATTTTCTCCATAATTCTTTTTCTAAAAGTTTCACTTTTGTATTATAATAAAATTTCTTTTGAATATGATTGTTCTTAATTTCATGGTTTTGTGTTTCCTTGAAGATGCTAGATATATATGAAGCATGGTTAGGCTTTCATGTTCTTTCTAAGCTAGTTATTCTATGATTCTGTGATCTGTTGTGGCTTCTTACATCATTTGAAATCTGTTTTCAGGGATGTTATATATATTGTTTGTTGTATGCATCTGTTTTCAACTATTAATAATTTTAAGTGGTGATTTGCTCTCTTATTATGTTTACTATCCTTTAGTTGTGATAGCCATTTCTGACTATATGTAATATATATTATACATAACACATGATATATAATGTGTATTGTATAATATATATATGAACAATCCTAATAAATATGTGTTACCAATTAAATTGGAAAGATATCTTCTTACTCTTAGTATATACGTTTTCCCAAAATCTGTTTGTTATTATTTTTCTCTCTCAGCTTTGTGATTGCTACTTCTTGAATGATTTTTATGAATAGCCTTTTCCACTTTGATTGTAGGTCTGTATATTCTATAGACAATTGAGAGTCATCTGCCTTCTATTCTTTTTACCTTTTTTTTTTTTTTTGGTGAAAAGATACACATATATTTAGAATTAGCCAGCTGGACTCAATTTAGATGATCCCAATTTTGTTGGCAACATCCAAAGCGTCATAATCAGTAGCCAGTCGAACATATACCTTCTTCTCTCCATCAGGCCGAATTAGGGTATTGACCTTGGCCACATCAATGTCATAGAGCTTCTTCATAGCCTGTTTGATCTGGTGCTTGTTGGCTTTAACATCCACAATTAACGCAAGTGTGTTGTTGTCTTCTTTGTTTCTGTCTTCTTCATGGCAGACTCAGTGGTCAGTGGAAACCTGATGATAGCATAGTGGTCAAGTTTGTTTCTTCTGAGGGTGCTCTTCAGAGGATATTTGGGCTGCCCCCAGAGTTGCAGTGTCTTGGGCCGCTTGAAGTTGAGTGACGTGGATCTTCATTTTTCAGTGGCTGTAGACACCTTTCAATACTGCCTTATTGGCCTTTAAAGCCTTCACTTTGGCTTTGGCTTTAGGAGGGGCAGGAGCTTCCTTCTTCGCCTTTGGTGACATCTTGTTTTCAGGGTCTTGTCTTCTATTCTTATAGTGGTTTTACCTTCAGATATTTGGTTTACTTTAATACCTGGGATCTTGGTGTAAAACCCAAGATATATTTCTTTTTCTCCACATTATTTGACAAAAATCATTTCTTCTTGGTACATTTTTTTAAAGGAAATAATTTCTTTCAACTAGATTGTTGCAGGATTAGTTTTTTGTTTTTTTTTGTATTTCTATATGGTATTTTCTTGGGTGGGTGTTGTCTGTGTGTGTTTATGTCAGTTATAATTAATATTCACTATGAATACTGTTCAACATGTTACATAAAAGCCTATAATGAGGAATGATAGTGATTTTTATGTAATAAAATTTATATCACATTTTTAATAAGATGCCTTAAGTATTATAAGTAACAAGAATAATAAATATGTTTTTGAAATTTTATCAATATTTCTTTTCATGCAATTGGCATAATTAGAAAAAAAAAGACCCAAATATCTAAACCGCCTAACTGGGGAGACGTGATGGTAGAGGGATGGACCAGAATAGGAAGAGAAGAAAGAAATGACAGGCAGCATACCTAACTACTAAGTGTTGTTTAATTCTGCTGCTATACTTTCATCATTTTTGTTAATTGAAGGGTTTCTCTTTCCCTCTTCACTTTATTTTTTCTTTAAGCATCTCATTGTCTAAAGGAAGTCCTAAAATGGAAAAAAATTCTACAAGTGTTTTCTCTTCGTTTTTTGTCCTTTTTTTTTTTTGGTTTTGGTGTATTCCTTTCTCAATTTAGGAAACTTCAGCTGACTCTGCAGATGGGTAAACATAGGTTTATTGCAGTTTGTTGCTTTCCAAGCTGTTCTTCTCATCAGATAGTTGCTTCCATTTCACAGAACTCAGGGGGATTTTATCCAAATACAACAAATGACAATGTGATTTATAGTGGACATGTGGAAAAGTAAATGGTCTTTCTCTTGAAGATATCCAAAATACAGTGTACAGTTCCTTACTAGCTGCTTTCAACATAATATGAACTTTCAAATTCTGCTATCGTATAAAATATGGATGCTAGATCTTTTTTTGTTTTAACTTTTTGTGACTTGGCTTTGTTCATGACTTTCAGAAAGGTTATATAGTTTTCTCATTGTTTTCATTTGTTTATGTTCTATCTTGGCTCCAAAGAATAAATGAGAGTTAGAGAGGTATTTAATCTTTTAAAAGTTATCAAAGAAGTATTAAAGTAAACCTTGTTGCTACCACCTCTTGTTGTTCAGATTTCCTGCTTTATAATGGGACAAA